ACTGTATACCACTGTGCCGCCCCCTCTGCTGGGTCTGTCCTGTCGGTGGGACAGGACATATCCAGGGATGGTGATGGTGGTGTCTGGGATATTGTTTGTAAGGTATGATTCTGTGAGTATGTCTATGTCAGGCTGTTGTTTGACTGGTCTATGAGACAGCTCTCCCAATGTTGGCACTAACGCCCCAGATGTTAGTGAGGAGGGCTTTGCAGGGTCGACAGGGCTGCTTCTGCCGTTGGCTTTTCCGATGCCTAGGTGCCAGGTGATCCATCAGTTTCATTTCTATGACACTTTGTAGTGATTGGTACAACTGAATAGCTTGTTAGACCATTTCAGAGGGCAACTGAGAGTCAACGACATTGCTGTGGGTCTGGAGTCACATGTAGGCCAGACCAGCTGAGGGTGGCAGATTTTCCTTCCCTGAAGGACATTAGTGAACCAGATGGGTTTTTCCAACAATTAACAATGATTTCACAGTCATCAGTGGATTCTTAATTTGAGACACTTTTTCCCGTGGCAGGATTCAATCCTGGATCCCCAGAACATTATCTGCGTCTCAGAGTTAATAGTCTAGCGATAAAACCACTAGGCCATCGCCTACCCATCTGTTGTCACTATCAAGGAAATAAATAGCTGCCAAATGGAAACGAAAGGGAGGGAGGAAATCAAAAAACTTACCATCACCAGGGAAGTTTGTACTGAGTAAATTGTTGGAGCTGCAAGCTGACAAGTCCCTAGGCCCTGATGGAATTCATCCTAGAGATTCATCCTTGATTCATCTTAAAAGAAGTGGACAGTTCGCACTCGGACAGTTCATTAACTCAGTTAGCAGGATGGCAGACTGATGCAAATAGCGTGCATTCAATTCCTGTTGAAGCCATCATGAAGACCATACAAAATAAGAACTGGCATAGATTGTTTGGCCCCTTGAGGCTGATACATCAATCAGTAAGATCACAGCTAATCCAACATTCTTCATATCCACTTTCCTGCGGTTTTCCTGTCACCCTTGATTCCCCGACTGATCAAGAATCTACCTATCGCAGCCTTAAATATACACAGGGACTCTGTCCACACAGCTCTTTGTAGGAAGGCGTTTAAAAGACTCTCAACCCTCTGAGAGAAGAAATTCCTCCTCATCTCAGTCTTAAATTGGTTCCACTTTATTCTGAGACTGTGCTGTCTGCTCCTAGACTCTCCCATGAGGGGAAACATCCTTTCAGTATTTATCTTGTTGAGTGTCTTAAGAATCTTACATGTTTCAATTAGATCACTTCTCATTGTTCTAAATTCTAGTGAGTAAAGTCCCAACTTCTTTAATCTTTGTTCATAAGACAATCCCTCCATACTGGGGATCATCCTAGTGAACCTTCTCTGAGCTTCTTCCAACGAAATAACGTATTTTCTTAAATAAGGGGACCAAAACTACTCTCACTACCTCACTCCGGTTGAGACTTCCTCAAAAAACTCAATTAAATTGGTCACACATGATTTCCCTTTCCTCAAACCATGCTGACTCTGCTTGATTCGATAATTTTCCAAATGTTCTGCTATTACTTCCTTAATAATTAATTCCAATACTTTTCCAACAATAACTGTTAGCCTAATCAGCCTATAGTTACCTGCTTTTTGACACCCTCCCTTTTTGAACGAGGATGTCACACTGGCAGGTTTCCAATCCCCTGGCTCATCCCCAGAATCCAAGGATTTTTGGAAAATTACAACTGATACATTCACTCTCTCTGTAGCTGCCTCTTTTAGGATCCCAGGATGCAAGCCATCAGGGCTAGGGGTCCTATCTGCCTTTAGCCCCATCGGTTTATCTAATACAATTTCTCTAGTGATGGTACTTAATTCCTCCTCTGTATTCTTTAATAATAATGGGATGTTCTTCTACTGTAAAGACTGATGCAAACTATCTGTTCATCTCCTTTGCCATTCCATTGTTCCCCATACCCATCGTCCATTCACTTTCTAAGGGGCCTATGTTCACTTTGACCCCTCTCTTCTTTTTTATATATTAAAAGAAGCTCTTATTGTCAGTTTTTATATTCTCACTAGCTTGTCCTCATCATTTATTTTTTATATCTTTATTAGCCTTTTATTCTCCTTTGCCGGATTCTGAATTTATCTCAGATTTCGGGGCTATCAGTAATTTTTGCCTCCTTATATGCTTTTTCTTTCAACTTACTATTCTTCTTAACTTCCTTGATTAGCCATGGTTTGTATATCCCTGTCTTAGAATCTTTCACCCTTGCTGGGATGAATTTTTACTGAGAGTAATGAAATATTTCCTTAAGTGTCTACCACTGTTTGCTTTCTGTCATTTCTGCTCATCTATCAACCTAGTTCACGTTAGCTAACCTTATCCTCATTTGATTGCAGTTCCCTTTAGTTAAGTTAAACACAGTTGTTTCTGACCCAAGTTTCTCACACTCAAACTGAATATTAAGTTTTATCATATTATGATCACTACTTCCTAGGTAATCTTTTACTTGGAGGTCATTTATTAAACCTGCCTCATTACTAATTATCAGATTTAAGATAGCTTGCTCCTTGGTTGGCTCTCGGACACATTGCTCTGGTATAGTATCTAAGGTATCTAAGTAATATGAAGGTATTGTCGTTTGTCTTGTACAGAGTGCAGATGCTCGAGTAACCTGGATGCTGTGTTTCAGGAGGCAGTCACATGTATTCTCCAGCCTTGTCCCTGAAACACTTGATCCCTTTACCTATCAAGAACCTATCTATCTCTGCCTTAAAAACACTCAATGACTTGCCCTCCACAGCCTTCTGTAGCAATGAATTTTACAGAATCTCCAGCCTCTGGCTGAAGAAATTCCTCCTCATCTCAGTTCTGAAGGGTTGTCCCTTCACTCTGAAGCTGTGACTTCAGGTCCTAGTCTCCCCTACTCGTGGAAACATCTTCTCCACATCCACTCTCTCCAGGCCTCTCAGTATTGTGTAAGTTTCAATGAGACTTCCCCCTCATCCTTCTAAACTCCACTGAGCACAGAACCTGAATCATTAACTGTTCCTGAAATGACAAGCCCTTCATCCCCGGGATCGTTCTTGTAAACCTCCTCTGGACCCCCTCCAATGCCAGCACATCCTTCCTCAGATACGGAGCCCAAAAATTCTCACAATATTCCAAATGCAGTCTGACCAGAGCTTTATACAACCTCAGCAGCACACCTCAGGAGATAGAAAAGGTATCTAAGAAAGGCACTCTTACAATAATCAGGGGGGTTCAATATGCAGGTGGTCTAAGAAAGTCTGGTTAGTCACAAATCCCAAGAAAAGGAATCTGTCGAATGTGTATGAGATGGTTTAGTGGACAGGCTAATGGTAGGAAGAGGTAATTCTGGATTTGGTGATGTGTAATGATGCAGACTTGATTAGGGAGCTTAAGGTGAAGGAGCCACTAGGGGGCAGTGCCCTTAATATGATAGAATTCACCCTGCAGTTTGACAGGGAGAAGCTGAAATCAGATATAACGGTATTATAGTTGGGTAAAGGTAACTACAAAGACATGAGGGAGGAGCTGGCCAGAATTGATTGGAAGGGGAGCCTAGCAGGAATGACATTCAAGCAGCTTTGGCAAGATTTCCAGGGGTAATTCGGGAGGCACAGCAGAAGTTCATCCCAAGGAAGAAGAAACATAAGAAACGGATGAGGAGGCAACCATGGCTGACAAGGGAAAGTCAGGGACAGCATAAAAACCGAGTACTGGGGTCAATGTCCTATGAATTCAAGCCTGTTTCCCCCACATCAATCTTTGAAACATGCGTTTACCTCCTTAATCTTGTTGACCCTGTGATAATTTGCTTCTTGCTCAGGTAGTAATCAGAAGATTATTACCTTTTTGGCTTGGTTTCTTAATATAGCCCCTAACTGTTTATATTCCCTCAGAAGAACCATGAAAATGTGGTGACCTCAGGCTAAACTCACCACCAGTCATTTCTCTCAAACGAGAGAGCAGCCCAATGGGACTATGGTGACTTTACCTTTACCTGCTATATTTTACCAAAATTTCCTAGGGTTAGGGAAAGTTCCATTAGATTAGAAAAAAGTGAATGTGATACAAAACACAGAAGTAAGGAAGGCATAATTCATTGATGCAAAGCATTAGTGTCCAACATAGAGGAGCATGCAACAAGCTGAAGTCACCAAGAATCCGCTCTGACTTCCATGTTGAAATTTGTTGGCATCAAGCTTGCTTGGTTTGGTAAGATGGAAGCTGAATATTAATGAGGTGAGTTGGGTGTTAACAAGGTGTTTGACAAGCAATAATCCCTCATAATTAGCAACATCCTACTGCATTGCGAAAAACTCGCCACTCAGCAAAAGCATTAAAGATGGCACAAAGGGCTCTTGTGGTGCAGTGTTACTGTCTCTACATTTGAGCCAGGAGGCCTGGGTTCAAGTCCTGCCTGCTCCAGAAGTGGGTCTGAACAGGCTGAGTAAAAATACCTAAAAGATGGTGTGAGGTTGTGAGATGTTTGACATTGAAGTGCCAGACTTCTCATTCAAATCATGTTGTAGCCCACACCACTGAGACTCCTACATGATTCCACCCCAAGTGTTTTTTTTCTGGGGGCAGGTAAAGAAGAACTTATTTTAAGAACTGTCTTTCGTTATCTCTCTCTTCACATTTGGAAGCAAACAGGTTGTTTGGACAGCCAATTCCAACCTGTTCCTCTCCTCCCTCCTGCTCCTAGAAACATGGCCTAACATACGCCATAAGATGGCTACTGTATATTGGCTGTGTGCCACAATTTACCATTCCCACAATGACACCACAGTTTCTGTTAGAATGTGCCATCCATAAACACTCATATGGATGTTATTTCTCAAGAAAAAGGGGTCAATAAGTACATTTGGAGCATTTAAGAAGATTACCAGTTGATGTGCTTTGTAATTAAAGGTATTCCCTCTGACTCACACTTTGTGCTTTCACTGTTTTCATTAAAAGGGATGAAATATTCAGAAACAATGAGCCACCTACATAATCTTTTAATTTAAGATAGACGAAAAACAGCAGAGCCAACGTTTAGATGATTGGTAATTGATTATTTGAAGAAAATAATTACAATGAACAACAGCCAAACTCGGCAGTCAAACTTGCATTATGATACCATGACTGTTAGATTGAATCACTTATTTTCTTTGTGTAGCGTTGCTAACAATTTCAATCATAAAGCATCCAGCAGGTTTTGCAAGTGTCAGAATTTAGGATAATATTGGATCCATTGTCAATATTTTAAACTAACCTATCTGGCAGTCTATCATAAACCTGAGACGTGGGCTGAAATCCAGGTGATAGCAATAATGTTAACTAGATAAAGCTTTCACTCATTCACTACAATGCCTCCATCCAAACAGATGAGTTTTGAGTCCAACAAACCTGTGGAAATTCCTGAAATGCACCCATTGTTTCCTGATTTCGGTCAGAGGATCCTGCAAGGACAACTACAGGCCTGAAAGAAATAGCATAGTTTTTAATTCAATGGTTTTTCATATAAGCCTGGCGAATTGCATTCTTTGAAATTTTTAATCTTCTCAAAGTTTGATGTTTAGCGACCTTACAGCACTCGGCATCAATACATCAATCATCTCAACTTCACATGCAATTTCTTCAAATTAAAATGCATAATTATACAAAACTTAATTGTAGATGAAGCCTGATTCAACAATTATGCAGCTGGTAATGAGAACAAGTGCTCTTAAGTTAAATTATTGAGCTATGCTGCACTGATGTGAGAATATACCCCTTCCAATTAATCACTCAGCTAAAATCTATTCTTTTTAGTGGCTCACAAAATATGCACCTTCAATTACAATGGTGAATTTCATCTATCTACAATGTTAATTGAACTGCAGTATTGCGTACTCTGTAAAAATTGCAAGAAATATCAGGTAGGTCTTTCAGCAATGGGAAAAAACAAAAAGCAATGAGTTTTCAGGTACAGACATTACTGCCAATGAAAGGTAAATGCCAAAATCATGAACCGATGTTCCATTAGCAATTTGGCGATTGACTTACACTGCGAAAAATTTAACCCGGTGAAAATAATCAACTTTAAAATGATGCAATGATTTGGGAGGCACAGCAGACCTAGCTACACAATTTAAATTATTCAATGAGATTTAAGGCAGATAAAAGTTAGCAGCCAAATCTAAAATAAAATCATGGTATACTACTTAACTTACTTTAAAATAAATATCTAAAAGAGACTCATATTTCACTAGATCGCTGGTGCAGGTCTCTTTTAAAAGCAAGTTTATTGAACTCAGTCATATTTATTTGTTTCAGTTACAGTGATAGATTCTATTTTACAATGACGATGTCAGCAAAGCTGTTACTGCTTATCCTCATTTGTCACTGAAACTGACAGCAAACCCTGGGGCCAGAGTTCGCCACTGGAGACAGGAAACGGAGAGGTAGACCTGATTTCAGAGGGGTTTAGTGGCAAAGGGCAGTCACACGGTATCTGGTCCAGTGAAATGGTAGGCTGGGGGCGGGGGCAACTGAGGCGAGGGTGTTCAGCTGCAAAGCAGGGGAAGGGGAGACTGTGTCGAGCAGCGAGGAAGGGGGAGTGTGGGGTGTGGGCAAGGGAAGGGGAGAGTGGGGAGAATAGAGCAAGTGGGCAGCCAGGTCCCAGAGTGCGCTAAGGGTTGGGGCATCATCTGTGGGGGATGTAAATGCTCTTCAGGATTTGTCGGTGGGAGGTAGTGTGACATAACTTTGATTTCTGTTTAATAGCTTCTCAGGAGTTAGACAAAGTATTTAATGGTTTAACTTTACCTGAGTAAATATTTAACAATTCCAAATGGAGACTTTCAGAGGTTTCCAGGTGTAGAAGAAATGCACAGTGTCAAATTCAATTTCCCTGGCAATTCCTTCAATGAGCTACTCCCATCTTCACTGGAATAACCATCGTCTGGGCAGTGGAAAATCTGAGCCTTCAGGCCCTGAGAGGGTTTGACAGGCTGAATGCTGAAAAGATGTTTTCCTTTGTGCGAGAGACTAAAACTAGAGGGACACATTTTACAAATGAGGGATCTCTCATTTCGGATTCAGACAAGAATTCTTTATTCTCAGGATCATGAGCTACTGGAACTCATTTCCCCAGACACCAGTGGTGGCAGAGTCCTTGAACTTTTTTTAAAGGCAAAGATAGTTTGTTTCTCTATGAAAAACAGAGTCAAAAGTTACCAGGCTAGACGGGAAAGTGGAGATATGGTCATAACCAGATCAACTGAAATGCGGAGCAAGCTTGAGGAACTGAATGGCCAACTCCTGCCCAGAAATGCACATACAAATGCTCCTATAACTACATCTGTGATCAGATTTTGGATCTTTTACCTCATATCGCTTTATCTGATTTGGTATCCTACTTTGTATTACAGCACTTCTGTAAAATGCTTTGCGATATATTAATTGAGTTTAAGGTGTTTAATGACATAAGTTGTTGTCATTCCAAACTTTGAAAATTGGATTTGCATAAAAAAAACTTGCAGTGATCAAAAGTTGCAAGTCGATGGCAAAAGAGCAGGGTATTGCATGTATTGGTCAAATCTATCAGAGTCAGCACAGGCAGAACGGACTGAACAACTGCCTTCTGTGCTGAAAGGTTTATTGACAGGGTAAATGCTGAGTGGATGTCTCACCTCATGGAAGAGTCTAGGGCCAGAGGCATAGTCTCAGAATAAAGAGGTACCAATTTAAGACTGAGATAAGGATGGATTTCTTCTCTCAAAGGGTTGAGTCTTTGGAACTCCTTGCCACAGAGGGTTGTGGGGCAAAGTCCTTGTGTATATATAAGGCTGAGATAGATAAGATTCTTGATCAGTACAGCAGTCAAGCATTATGGGGAAAGGGCAGGAAAATGAATATAAGGGATGTCAGATCAGCCATGATCCTATTGAATCATGGACCAGGCTCCAAGGGCCTTATAGCCTTCTCCTATTTCTTATGGTCTTATTTATAAATGGTCTTCATTGGTCTCCTGCACATTACCAACAACCCTTTCTTCTCACATTTGTTCACTCTCCCCATCCCTTTGGAAAACATATGTTCTTGAAGATGAGATGCACACCTCTTCCTGGGGATACCTGAAATAACCCCACAGATGCCGGTATCCTGTCACCAAGTCACCCTTTATTTATGTAAGGTGAGTCCCTGACACTGGTCCAGCTTGCTCAGAACCAGCTCTCAGAGTGAACAGATCCTCTGACAGATATAAACTCCTGTTATTCCACGGTCTCTGATTGGACCAGGTTAACAGCCCCAATCAGGGAACTCATATTCTATGAGGTCCACCTGGCTGACCCTACAATACTAACCACCAAAACAGAAGATTTCCATTGCAATATCTGTGGAGGAGCTTTTATACAAAAATAAATTTTGATTAGAATAAGAATGTTTAAGTTTTCCACCTGTAATAACGCAGGAAACCTGGCGAGAAAGAAACATTTTTCATTGTTGAACACCAAAATAGAGCCACTTCTTCTGGTTAGTACCAGCCCTGGATCGACAGTTCTCTCTGGGTCTATGTATTTTTTTCCTAACTAACCCGTTCAGAGGTGTTACAACACAACTCTGGAACAGATGGGACCTGAACTTGGGCCTCCTGTCTCAAAGGTAAGGTCGTACTACTGTGCCACAAGAACCAACCTGGATCTGCTTTATGATTTTTCCCATCAACCTGTACAGAGATGTTATGATACACCTCTGGAGTAGGTGGGACTTGAACCTAGGCCTCCTGGTCCAGAGATTGAGACACTACTGCTGTGCCATGAGAGGTCTCCTTCGGTCTGCTTTATTTTTTGCCATGGGCCTTGTAGGGGTTATCATACCATGCATCCTTCCCAAAACTGCTCAATTGATAATGCACTGTCCAGATGGAAATGAATCACAGAGACAATGCAGGCCCCAGGGTCACTAGTGGTCCATGTATAACTATCCTGGACAATGCCTAATGACAACTGATGTTTTATACTATGCCTTTAAATGTACAGAACATAGAACAGTACAGCATAGTACAGGCCCTTCAACCCATGATGTTGTGCCGAACTATTATCCTACTAAAATCAAATTACCCTGCATACGCTACATTTTACTATTCTCCATGTGCCTATCCAAGAGTCGCTTAAATGTCCCTAAAGTATCTGACTCCACTACCACTGCCGGCAGTGCATTCCACATGCCTACCACTCTCTGTGTAAAGAACCTACCTCTGACATCTCCCCTATACCTTCCTCCAATCACCTTAAAATTATGCCCCCTCGTAATAGTCATTTCTGCCCTGGGAAAAAGTCTCTGACTATCCACTCTATCTATACCTCTCATCATCTTGTACACCTCTATCAAGTCACCTCTCATCCTTCTTCGCTCCAATGAGAAAAGCCCTAACTCCCTCAACCTTTCCTCATAAGACCTGCCCTCCAGTCCAGGCAGCATCCTGGTAAATCTCCTCTGCACCCTCTCTAAAGCTTCCACATCCTTCCTATAATGAGGTGACCAGAACTGAACACAATATTCCAAGTGTGGTCTAACCAGGGTTTTATAGAGCTGCAGCATAACCTCGCGGCTCTTAAACTCAATTCCCCTGCCAATGAAAGCCAACATACCATATGCCTTCCTAACAATCCTATCAACTTGGGTTGCAACTTTGATGTGCACTCCAAGATCCCTCTGTTCCTCCACACTGCCAAGAATCCTGCCATTAACCCTGTATTCTGCATTCAAATTCGACCTTCCAAAATGAATCACTTCACACTTTTCTGGGTTGAATTCCATCTACCACTTCTTTGCCCAGCTCTGCATCCTGTCAATGTCCCGTTGCAACCTACAACAGCTCTCCATGTCATCCAGAACTCCACCAACCTTCATGTCATCGGCACACTTACTAACCCACCCTTCCACTTCCTCATCCAAGTCATTTATAAAGATCACAAAGAGAAAAGGTCCCAGAACAGATCCCTGTGGAACACCACTGGTCACCGAGCTCCAGACTGAATACTTTCCATCTACTACTACCCTCTGTCTTCTATTGGACAGCCAATTCTGTATCCAGACAGCCAAATTTCCCTGAATCCCATGCGTCCTTACTTTCTGAATGAGCCCACCATGGGGAACCTTATCAAATGCCTTGCTAAAATCCATATACACCACATCCACCGCTTGACCTTCATCAATGTGTTTTGTCACATCCACAAAGAATTCAATAAAGCTTGTGAGGCATGACCTGCCCCTCACAAAGCCATGCCGACTATTTCTGTGCTTTTCCAAATAATCATAAATACTATCCCTCAGAATCCTCTCCAATAATTTGCCCACCACAGAAGTAAAACTGACTGGCCTGTAATTTCCAGGATTATTCCTATTCCCTTTCCTGAGCAAGGGAATAACATTTGCCACCCTCCAAATCTTCTGGTACTACTCCAGTGGACAGTGAGGACACAAAGATCATCGCCAAAGGTGCAGCAATCTCTTCCCTTGCTTCCCATAGGAACCTTGGGTATATCCCGTCTGGCCCAGGGCACTTATCTATCCTCATTTTTTTTCAAAATTTCTAGCACATCCTCCTTCCTAACATCAACCTGTTCGAGCATATCAGCCTGTTTCATGCTGTCCTCACAAACGCCAAGGTCCTTCTCACTGGTGAATGCTGAAGCAAAGTATTCATTCAGGACCTCCCCTACGTCCTCCGACTCCACGCACAAGTTCCCTCCACTATCCCTGATCGGCCCTACCCTCACTCTAGCCATTCTCTTGTTCCTCACATAAGTATAGAATGCCTTGGGGTCTTCCTTAATCCTACCCACCAAGGCTTTTTCATATCCCCTTCTAGCTCTCCTAAGTCCATTCTTCAGTTCCTTCCTGGCTACCTTGTAACCCTCTAGAGTCCTGTCCGATCCTTGCTTCCTCAACCTTAAGTAAGCTTCCTTCTTCCTCTTGAAGGAATGTTCCATATGTCTTGTCATCCAACGTTCCTTCACCTTACCATCCCTTCGTTGCCTCAGTGGGACATACCAATCCAGTACTCATAGCAAGTGCTCCCTAAACAACCTCCACATTTCTGTTGTGCATTTCCCTGAGAACATCTGTTCCCAATTTATGCTCCGCAGTTCTGTAAGTATAGAATGCCTTGGGGTCTTCCTTAATACCCCTCCCCCAATTAAATACTTTCCCATACCATCTGCTCCTATCCCTCTCCATGACTATAGTAAAGGTCAGGGCGTTGTGATCACTATCACCGAAGTGCTCTCGCACTGACAGATCTGATACCTGGCCTGGTTCATTGCCAAGCACCAAATCCAATATGGCCTCCCCTCTAGTTGGCCTATCTACATGTTGAGTCAGAAATCCTTCCTGCATACACCTGACAAAATCTGCTCCATCCAAACTATTTGCACTTAGGAAGTTAGTCTATATTACGGAAGTTGAAGTCACCCATGACAACAACCCTATTACTTCTGCACCTTTCCAAAATCTGCCTCCCAATCTGTTCCTCAGTGTCCCTGTTGCTATTGGGGTGTCTATAGAAAACTCCCAATAAAGTGACTGCTCCTTTCCTGTTTCTGATTTCCACCCATACTGACTCGGTGGAGAAACCCCCCTCAACAACCTCCCTTTCTGCAGATGTGATACCATCCCTGATTAGCTGTGCCACTCCCCCACTTCTTTTATCTCCCTCCCTACTTCTTTTGAAACATCTAAACCCCAGACCGTCCAACAACCATTCCCGCCCCTGTGTTAGCCAAGTCTCCGAAATGGCCACAATAGTTATCAGTTTAAATAAATATTTGCAAGTTGACTTCCCAGAATTGTAATGTTTATTCCTGCATCTTTGGCAAAGCAAATCTGAATAAAACACAAACTGTAATCGTTCACAGGACTTACCAGCAGTTCATGTTTGCATTTGCCATTCCTCCCACTGCATGTAAAAGACCTGGGCCAGAGACTGTAAGGCAAATGCCTGGCCTTAAAAGAAGAAAAACAGTCATGTTTAAATTCCAGATACATAGATAAAGTACAATTAAATTAATATTAGTGGCAAAGTCATGAAATTAAAAGGCAGCTACATTTTCAGAGACTAACCTTCCAGTTAAATATCCTACTGCAGATGCTGCATAACAAGCCTGTTTAAACAGCAAACATGAGATCAGTAAAGTATTAATCAAAGTTTTTGAGTACACTGTACAAAGAAGAGACAGAAAATACACAGAATATTACTTACAGATTGCTCATTTCTCATTCCAACGTACTTAATCCCAGCAGCTTGGGCTGCCATGGCTATTTCTATCACCGGAATACCAACAATCCCAAACATATACCGAAGATTCTGCAAAAAATTATCAAAGGTGGCTTTCAGGTTGCTACAAGTTTAGTGGACATTTTTAGTGTGAAGTTAGCAAGAAATAATCTGTTCAGATCACAAGCATAATCTTAAAAGATTTTCTGATATTCTATAAGAATGTGTTGCAAACATTCAAGATACAGAGAATCTGCGTAATTCATAACTCCAGAGTGGAAACCTTGTAACACCTTTGGTCACATTCTAAAGGCTGAGTGGTCTTTCTTAGTAGCAGTACTAAAGGTCATCGAGTTTGGGAGATTTTTATTTAAACAATAACTGAAGTGCAGCTCACTATTGCTCACTATGTATCTCAAATGCATTGCTTTCTCTTAAATTGTTCTAACACTTTTCATCAACCATTCTACAATACGGCAGCCATGGAGTCAAAGAATCCCAGCAGTGTGGGAAGAGGCCACTAGGCCCATTAAGTCTGCGCTGACCCTCCAAAGAGCATCCCACACTGACCCAGCTCCCTCACCCTATCCCATATTTACCATGGCTAATCCACCTAACCTGTACATCTTTGGCCTGTGGGAGGAAACCGGAGCACCCGGAGGAAACCCACGCAGACACGGGGTGAATGTGCAAAATCCACATAGACAGTGACCCAAGCCTGGAATCAAACCCAGGCTCCTGGCACTGAGACAGCAGTGCTAACCACTGAGCCACCATGCTGCCCAATACTAAACACCAGTTAAAATATACAAGGCTATCCATTTGTTCTCATTCCCTGCCCTTTCCCCACATGCACAAAATGTTGTAGTTGTTTTCTTTATCCAAATTCCTTTTAAAATTTCTGATGTAGATTAAGCTTTCTGATCTTTCCATGTCATAACAGATCTACCCCAAATCTTTCCTTTTGTATTTTTGGTAGTGTTCTTCAATTTATATCCTCTGGATACTAACTCACCAAACCAATGGATATTGTTTTCCCAAAATGACTTCATTAAAAACTCATAACTCTGGAGAGGTTCCATCTTGAAATTTTCTGTTCTCATGAAAAGAAGCCTTGACCTAAGAGCAGTGTCTGAAGCTAAAGCTTGAGGGTTTCCCACATGGCAGCTCTTTTTATTCACTCGTAGGAGATTGGCATCGCTGGCTGGCCAGCATTTATTGCCCATCCCTAGTCACTCTTGAGAAGGTGGTGGTGAGCTGCTTTCTTGAACCGCTGCAGTCCGCCTGCTTTGGGTAGATCCACATCAGAGAGGGAATTCCAGGAAGCTGAGTTGCTTAGAGGGAAACTTTCAGTTGGTGGTGTTCCCGTGTGTCTGCTGCCCCTGTCCTTGTAGATGGAAGTGGTCATGGATTTGGAAGGTGCTGTCTGAGGATCGTTTGTAAACTTGCGTAGTACACCTTGTAGATAATGCACACTGCTGCTACTGAGCATTGATTTTCGGAATGACTGAATGTCTGTGAATGTAGCGCCACTCAATCGGGCTGCTTTGTCCTGGATGGTGTCAAGCTTCCTGAGTGTTGTTGGTGCTGCACTCATCCAGGCAAGTGGGGAGCATTCCATCACACTCCTGACTTGTGCCTTGTAGGTGGTGGACAGGCTTTGAGGAGCCAGGAGGTGAGAAACACACCGCATTATTCCTAGCCTCTGATCTGATCTTGTAGCCACAGTATTTAAATGGCAAGTCCAGTTCAGTTTCTGGTCAATGGTAATCCCCAGGATGTTGATAGTGCAGGATTGTGTGATGGTAATATGATTGAATGTCAAGGCTGTGGTTAGACTTAATGGAGATGGCCATTGCCTGGCATTTGTATGGCACAAATGTTATTTGCCTGCCCCCGATGTGGGTGAAATACTGAGAGGGGTAGGATAAGGTCCTTCCGGCCCTAAATTGGCCACATGGGACTTCATACACTGTCTGCGCAACACCTCCCTTGAATCTATCAAACCTTGGTCAGGTCAGCAGCAGAGGGGAGACAGCAGGAAGACCTCCTGCTGGATTGAGTGACCCCTGCCCCCTGGTGGGCTTGGAGGTGTAAACTCTAATCGAATTGAGGGCACCGAACAGCAAAAGAAGGATTGAGTGGGATAGAGAGTAGCAAACCCTCTCAGAACATGGAACAGCATTGAACAACCCAAAAACTAAACATAAAAGCAAAATATTGGGGGTGCTGGAGATCTAAAATGATAAATGCTCATCAGGTCAGACTACATCCATGAGAAACACAGTAAATCTTTCACCATTTTTCAGAACTGATCTGGTGATAACTCACAGACCTGAAAGGTTAATTTTGTTTTAGTCTCTCACCGCTTCCAGACCTAATTAGTGTTTCCAGGACTTTTTGCTTTATTCCAAACACTAAACAAATGCGTTGAGTCATCAGGAAATGATAAATTCAGGCGTAAGGGGAGGTTTAAGTTCACGTTGTAACTAGTGCGTTGTGACTTCCTGCTCAAGGCGAGGATGTTGTTGATATCAATGAAATTGAATATGTTAGTTACACAGTGGCCTATTTTGGTGCAGCCCACTCATTTCGATAAAGTTTCACTTATTGCAGTGGATTGACAGCACTTGGGGTGAATGCTCCTCACCTGCCTTCTCAGTGCCTCTGCTATGACTTGAGCTCCGCTGAGTTCCTCTGGCTGTAGCCCACCATCTCCCTCTGGAGCTGCCATTTCCACTCGGTGTGAGGGAGCAATTGGCAGCTTCGGATTGATGCAGTTTGGTGAGTGACAAACAGCAGCACCAACCCTAGCAAAGGAGGAAGCAAATCGCTCCGGAAGAGGAGTCACTGCAGTATGGATGTACAGCCTGTTGGCAAGTTCCGTTCTTTTCGTTTTGCGGGGAGTTTTGAACTTTAGAGTAATTTGAAAAGTTTTGAAATTCAGCCCAATGCAGTAGTTTTGCTTTTGTGTGCAAGATTACAAATCAATACAGGTCCCGTGAGAGCTCAATGTTTCTACCTGGGCTTTTCCAGTGGATTTGGCGCAACTCGGTGTCTGAAGCAAACACAAAAACATGATTTTAAAAAAAGCGGATCAGCAAGAATGTACAATTCCAGGCCAGTCCTTAATGTGCTCCCGAAAGGAACTCCCTCAGTCTCTGATTTTTTTATTTATTGAGCAATTCTCACGCGTTCATCTGAAGCAGAACAGGAGAGAAAGGAAAACATAAGAGAGTTGTCTATAAATTAGTGAAAGGGGAGAGAGAGAGCAGGTAAACCAGAAAGTGGAGATAAAGAATGAACTGGAAAAGGTTGGATGATTATAATAATGTACATTGATATAGTGCTTTTACAATGAAGCTTTAATCCAAAGTGTTTCACAGCGGCATTACAAAAGAAAATATGTTAAATTGGATGACCAAAAGCTTAGGTGGGCTTAACAAGGAGTGTCTTAAACAAAGAAATCATCATAGAAAAGATTAGGGAGAGAAGTCCGAAGTTTACAGAGAGGCTACCTGAAGAGATAGCCACCAACGGTTGAGTGATTAACATCAGGGATTCTAACGAGGTCAGCATTAGAGAGGAACAGAGGCTTCGGATTTTGGGAAATGGAGATGGGAAGAATTAAAGCCCTTGAAGGATTTCTAAACCATGGGTTAACAACATGTAAGTGACCTCAGGTTTACAAAGTGTGGAATATAGGAGAGTAGCCAGGAGTGTGGTGGAATAATCAAGCCTTCTACCTAGCAAAGGCATGAATGAGGGTTTCAACAGCAGATGAACTGAGGCAGGAACAAGTTAAACGAGTGGGCAAACACTTGGCCAATGGAATACTGTTGCAGAAATGTGAGGTTTAGCAAAAACAATAGAGGAGCTGAATATTATTTAAATGGAGAAGAACTGCAGAGATGCAGAGCAGAGGGATATGGGAGTCCTCATCCGTGAATCACAAAAAGCAAGCATCCAAGTTCAGTGGGTCATAGGGAAGTCAAATGGAATCTTGGCTTTTATTTCGAAGGGAATTGAATAGAAAAATGGGGAAGTTTTGCTAAAACTATACAAGGTACTCATCAGACCACAGCTGGAATACTGTGATGGGCACTTTGTCTAAGGAAAGATATACTGGAATTGGAGGCAGTCTGATATCAAGTAGGGAGTGACTGTCTTATGAGGAGACAGTGAGTAGATTGGGCCTGTACTTATTGGAATTTGAAGAATGAGAGGCAATCTTATTGAAACATACAAGATTTTTAGGGGACTTGACAGATTAGATGCAGAAAGGCTGATTTCCCACGTGGGAGAATCTAGGACCAGAGACTATAATATCAAAATAAGGAGTCACACATTTAAGACAGAGATGAGGAAGAATTTCTTCTCTCGGAGGAATTAAGTATATTCAAAGCTGAGATAGACAGATTTTCAAACAGTAAGAGAATCAAGGGTTATGGGAATGGCAGGAAAATCAGAAATAAGGAATATCAGATTAGCCATGATTTCATTGAATGGCCAAGCAGACTAGATGGGCTGAATGACATAGTAGGATGATTTTCCCGAGGTGATAAATAGGCAGTCTTAGTGATGACAGCTCAACTGGGTCAAATATGACACCAATGTTGTGAACAGACTGGTTTGGTTTCAGACAGCTACCAGGGGAGAGGGTTGGTATAGGGAAAATAGTTTGCAGCAGGGACAGAAAGCAACAGCTTCAGTCTTCCACATATTTAATTGAAGGACATTTCTGCTCATCTAAAAATGGACATTGATCAAACAAAAAGTAGGGGAATTGAGAAAAACGTTGTTGATATAGATCTAGGTGTCATCAGTGTACATGTGAAAACTAACATGCTTGTGGCTGATGTTACTGAGAAGCAGCATGTAGATGGGAATTAGGTGGGAAAATCCTTGAGGGAAAACCAGAAGTAACAGTGGATGGCCTTCACCACCTGGATGCCAGCTGATGCTTTTAAGTGACCTCTTAAGGGTCACATCCTGACATTGCAGGAATTCAACCAGCCGTTTCCCACCAGAATACAAGCAGCTGAACCCTGGTAGGAGAGAGGCCCCTCCTTATCTGGTATCCACAACCCCAAAGGAAGGAACCACCCTCCTCAAGAGAGGAACCCACATGAGCCACTGCCAGCCATTTTTATCAACTCACCTTTGCCTACAACTTCCATGTCCTTTCTGGGGCATGACTGATTGCCTCTTGATGATTCTGTCCCATTTACCTGCATTCTAGGGCTCCATTTGGATCTCAATGCAGTACCAGCACTTCCCACTGCTCTGAGTGGGACTGCCAGTCTCTCGATGGCCAGCAGCTCTCAGTGATGAGCTACTGCCTTAAAAGAGGAATTAATTTGGGAAAGTTCCCGTGTAGGTGCCAGGACCCCTGCTGACGTCCAAGAGACTGCCTGATTCGAACTTAATTCTTTTGCTGTCCAACAAAAGGCTGTGGTCAGATTACCGGCAGTCCTCCTGTTGGTGGAGGAGCCCACTGCTACAACTCTTCGATTGTGCCAATGCTAAAATGCTGCTTGCTATGATTCTATGATTAAGTTATTACTTCACAACCGTGTGTAAATTAGTTGCTCTAAAAGAAACCAAATTACTTAATTTGTGTGGATCCTGAGGGGTTGCAAGTGTTGATATTTGAACTGTTCCAGGGTGGTTTGGCAAATCACATTTAGATATAGTCTGTGTAATAAACATCATCCAATTCCATATTGAGCAATTAAAACGAAAGAGTTGAGAATTTATTTCATGCCCTTAATGAATATTCTTGTCTAGATGTCAATTGAATATTTTTGTATAGGGATAGGTTAATTCAGTTACATTCAGTGAACAGTTACTATCAACATTTTTCCCCACTGTGTGAAATACGTCACCTAACTTATATTTTTGTCTTCCCACCTGCATAAACCTATCCAAATAGGTTAATTCAAGATAACATGACAATGAGAGACTGTAATCAATAACAACAGACCTGTAAAGAGAAACTAAGTTTCTCAAGTAGTAAGGGAAGAAAAATAATGGAGCATGATGAAGTAGGGGAGCAGGATAAAACTTTAACTACTTTCACAAACTGTATTGGAATGGTACAATTATAGTAGTGAAATCATTTAGTAAGAAATTCATAGATTACAAGGGACGAATTTATTCATTACAACGGACAGCATAAAATTAAACCACCTGAAGATTTATTTCACCTTGAAACATAATGTATTGGATTGAGGAATTTCAATGAATCAAACCGCTTATTGACCAGGGCAGCAAATAGCAAAGTTTAACCATCAGTTACAAACAAACTCCAACACATATTTATCTATTATGACACCTTAAAAACAGAAGAGGTTGCCTTTGATTAGCCTCCTTTATTCTACATTGGCTGCAAATATTGTGACAATTCCAAGAGAGGGTATTCTTTATGAAACAAACAACCAGTGTACATAAATAAACTAATTAACTAGTTCACAACTTCTGTTCATGCAGTTCTTGAATCTAAAAGATTATACTAGGTTGTTTTGAAAATCCATTGACATATATTGAATGCACAATCCAATATAATCATTAACCATCACACAGATAAAAGACGATATCTTAAGTGTCCAAATTGTTGTCAAATTTATCTTCATATGAATTAATTTTGCTTGCATATGCCCCTTGAAGCCTTTCGTTTCTGCCAAGTCCCAGATTCATCCCTCTGCCAGTGAAATAGGATTGAAGGATTCGGAAAAACTGTTTTTAATAGGAAAGAAAACAAAATGTTTAAGCAGACAATTAAATCTGTATAGTGCACTGTCTGTTCAAAGATTTAATTTTTGATAATTAGAATCCCTGAAATTGCTCACACATTCCTGATGAAAATTGTAGGTAACGTCAAATTAATAATCTTAAAATTATCTTTTCAAATGAAAATGCACTCAGTTAATCGTCGAAAGTGGGATTGTTTTTAGAATCCTGGAAATCGTTTGCTTTTCCAAACAGAAGTGATGGTTAATTAGTGCAATCACAGGAACAGCCTATCAATTTTCTTTTACATATTTGCTTAGTGCTTATCATTTTTATCATGATTTTAAACCAAAACCATAATATCCCATCCAGCAAGTCTCGTTCCCAATAAAAGCATGTCATATTCCTCACTTTAGCTATGGATTGTATTCTGTTTAGATTTTTTTGGATCAGCCATCTCTTAAAAATGGATATCATAAGGTTTCTAAGATGGCTGATGGTTACTGCAATTTTTCTCCAGACTACCTTAAGTTTTTGGAAAGTCCCTAGCCGATTGACTATGGGTTGGATGCCTCCTTGAATGGGCATACTAAAGTAAAAATCATCTGGAGAATTCATATCATTTGCGAAGTTACCCCAAACTCCAAATCTATGAACTCCAAGACTTACTTTCGATGAGCTTTGAAATGAATAATGAATGCTGTACAGAAACAGTAAAATCATCAGTAGGTGTGAATGGCCACCATCCCTTCTCCATTGTATAGCAATGACATCAAGGATTAAATCGTGCTGGGTGTGCAATTGAAGTATTGATCAATTGACTGGAACTGACAACAGATAATAAATCTTGCTATCCCAAAAACTGGATTAAAACAGTCAGTCTGGAAACCAACAGGATGAAAGGGACCCATTCCAGCAACATCCAGTCAATCCAAAGAGTGCAGTGGGGGGCAGTTCATTGTCACTTGCAATGATTTACTTCAACAGAAAATCAATACCTTTTGTAAATCCAAAGACTTCAAACCACCTTTCAACTCCGAAGAAACATGAGAATCAGGCCTACAAAACCTGAA